CGGTTGGCCCTTTTTATGCCTCCAGCTCGGGGGGCTAACCTTGGGCTTTCGCATGCGCAGCAAGGTGACCCGCTCCAGCCTTGACAGCTCTCACCGTTGTCGAAATTTCTTGACTTTTAGAACCGTGAACACCCCCGAGCCGGTTCGCCGTCTTGTCCGCTGCGGTTGCTTGTTTCTCAGTCTTGCGCACTCATTTCGTGCCGACCTCGGTCGGGCAGGCTTTGACCTTTGTCGGCTTCATTAGGCGCGCGCCCTTCATTTTCGGCGGCTCCTGCTCCTGTCGGAAATTTCGACAGGGTGACAGGCTCGACAACCTTGGCGACGTAGGTACGCAGTGCGTCGGGCCTGTGCTTGGTCTATTCCTCAAGAAGACAGGGGCAGGGCACGCACAGGATGACGGTAAGGGCCGCCATGCTTCCCGGCAAATGTTAGCCCACCGCCGTGCAAAAATTCGAGAGGGACCCCCCCGCGGAGAGAATGAAAACACAGAAGCGCAAGAGCCTGAGGGGCTCGGAGCGTGCTCCCTCTGCTTGGTCAATATATTACAGGCCAAGGAAAGGCGTAGTGACTGAGCTGGAGACAGACAGACAGAGTGTCGAACGTGTTAACTACCGCTCCTATTTCAATGAGTGCACCACAGTGGCTGGCGTAGTGAATAGGCTGGAGAGTGTTGAAGACTTCAGAATGTCTCGCGTGTCACACGAGTGCCCGGACGAATGTGGTGGCCGGTTTCGGTGTCATCTCTGCTTCATTCGTAATGGGGACGAAGGTATACCAGACGAATATCCTTACAGCTCAGACGAGGAGCGCTGCCCTCTAGCATCTCCGCCGAGGCACTGGGTGGCCAGGAGACTAATCGCAAAAGTTACGGATGGCGCAACTCTGGCACCTACTTGGCTGCTCTCAGGCTGTCCCTTATTTCTTCAAAATACATAGAGACAGCTGGGCCCAGCGCGTTGGTGAGAGAACAGAGCAAGCGCCCACCGTGGCAAAGTCTAAGACAGCGAAACGCAACACCTTCACCATCAAGCACCTGGACCAGGGAGCGAATGGGGGTTTGCCTATTGCGTGGAAGCCTTGGAATGGTGAGAGAGGGAGGATCGTCATGAAACTGAATAGCGAGCATGTCTTGCGCCGTGAGCGTTACTGCATGCTTAAGGATGACTACTGCGCGAGCGACATCTTCCGCCGAGGAGATTGCGACGCAGACGACCAGATGATGTCGCTACAGGCAGAACACACAACGGACTACAGAGAGGCAATCCAGGAGAGCTGGAGGTGTTCGATTTTAATAGACGG